GGGGAAGAATGAAGAGGGGGAAATCGGAGGGGGAGATGAACCATGAGAGACGATGGACTCTGAGAAACAAACTGAGCGTTCTAGAGGGGTGGGGGTGGGGGGGATGGGATGGGTTAGCCTGGTGATGGGTATTAAAGAGGGCAAGTTCTTCATGGTGCACTGGGTGTTATACACAAACATTGAATCATGGAACACTACATCAAAAACTAATGATGTAATGTATGGTGATTAACATAATAAAAAAATAAAATGGATGGATTTGGGAGTAAAGTTCTAGTTCTTGTCATTGGTTTGTCTGGTTTTTGGCTGTAGCTTTTGAAACAAAATCTCCTCCTGGTGGTGGCTAGGAATATTACAGCTGAAACTAGATGTAATCATGTGAAGGCAGTATAGATGGTTTTATAAACAGTGACACAAATTAGTAGACCAGTGTTAACAAGAATTCTGAAATCATATACAAGTGAGCAAATGTTACACATAATATACAAAGAAAAACCATTTGAGTTGTGTTTTGACACTAAGAAATTAGTGTTGTTTAAGGGGTGAGGTATAGATTAGGAGTCAGCAGGCATGTGTTTTAATTTTAATCCTAACTCTGCTATTCACTACCCTTAATCAAGCCACTCTAACTTTGAGGAAACTCAGTTTCCTTATCTGTAATATGAAAAGGTGAACTTTGATTTCTAGAGTTTCTCTTAGCTCAGACTCCATAAACATGCTAAATTCCTTGGTAAAAAACCTAAAACTGCTTTTTTTTTTTTGGTCCTTAATCCATGTAATTCTCCCTTCTATAGCCTAACACACTTCATGGCCTCTTAACATCAGTTGATGATTACATCCTTAGAAAATCAATAGATAGTTATTAAACAGTTGGTATTCAAGTTCTATGCTAGGCACTATACTAACCATAAATTTGTATGTGTAAAAACCATTGTATATTACAAAGCTTTAAGATTTTTACCTTTATTCTTCATTATAGCAAATCTGAAATTGGCATGTGATGACTTTAACAATAAAACTTAACACATCATCTGAATGAACGGTGGCTGAGGAATATAAAAATTAGCTGGTTATTGATTGTGGGGAAAGAACTTTTGAAAACCCAAGAGGGAATTTTTTTTTGCATAACAGCATGTTTAGCTCAAAGCTTTGGAAATATTAAGATGAATCCTCTTGACTTGATAGCAAAAAAGCTTCATTGGGAATGTTTTTTACACTTCCTACTTTAAACATACTGTACTAGTAAAAAATTCAGTTAGTTGTACACTGCATCTAAAAATACTTTTACATATTCAGTGGACTTTTTTTCCTAACAAATTAAATATTTGTTCCTTTTTTTTCTTTTTTTTTAATTAACATATAATGTATTATTTGTTTCAGGGGTACAGGTCTGTGATTCATCAGTCTTACACAATTCACAGAGCTCACCATAGCACATACCCTCCGCAGTGTGATTTGTTTCTTTTGAATTAAAGAAATACTTTTGGCTATAAGAAGAGTAGGCCATATTTGTAGAAACTATTAAATTTAATACTTCCTTGAATAACTTTTTCTTTTAGGTAGGTCACCAGGAAATTAAGAATAATAAAAGTGTTTTGTATGCTTGTATATTAGAAAAAAATCAAAGCTATAACTTTAATAAATTTAGGTATGGAAAACAATTAAATTTATTAGAATTTTGCTAATGTAAAATAACCATATTTAGGTGATTGCCTATTTTAATTGGGGTAGTAAAAGGATTGTCCTGTTTTTATTAAATAAAAAGACTCAGAAATTAGTCTATTTCCTTTTTCTTCTTTCTAACTTTTCATTATGGAAAATTTCAAACATACACAAGGTAAACAGTTACGGTATAATGAACCCCCATGTACCCATCACCAGCTTCAATTATTAGCAATATATCTGCCATTCTTGTTTTATCTATCCCTCAGACCGTTCCCTGCCCAATTCAGTTTTTTTTTAATAGACTCTTCTTAATGTAAAATATATATACATTGAAATGAACCAATCTTAACTTTGATATAAGTGCATTAATGTAACTCACACCACTCTCATGGTATAGAACATTAACATCTACTCAGAAAGTTTGTTTCCCTCCCCAATCAGTATACCTTCCCAGTTCTGATCTTTGTCACCAGCAATTAGTTCTAGAATTTCATACAGATGGAATCAATATATATTCTTGCGTCCAGCCAACCTTATGTCTGTAAGATTTATCCATGTTGTTGAATATATCATAATTTGCTTCTTTTTATTGCTGAGTAATATTCCATTGTGTGAATATACCACAGTTTCTTTATCCATTCTCTTGTTGGTGGACACTTGAATTGTTTTCAGCGTTGAGGTTTGTGAACAAAGATACTATGCACGTTTTTGTATAACTCTTTTTGTGGGTGTTTATTTTCATTTGGTCTATCTACTGAAGAGTAGAATTGCTGAGTAAGAGGGTAGTTATACGTTTAACTTTGTAAGAAAGTGCCAGACCCTTTGCCAGAGGTTTGCATCCTCACAAGCAGAGTATGGGAATTCCAGTTGTTCCCACATTTTTGCCAACATTTGGTTTTGTCTATCATTTTCATTATAGACATTTCTAAGAGTTTGTAGCACTATCTCATGGTTTTAATTGCATTTCTGGTTTTGCCACTTTTTGTGATATCTTCTGATTTTTTAAATTGGGTTGTTTATTATGTTATAGGAATTCTTTAGATATAATAAATACAAAATTTTTGTTACATATATCTTACAAATATTTTCTTTTAGTCTGTAGCTTGCCTTTATTTTTCTTAATGGTATACTTGTACTATCATTGATTGCTACTTTTATCTCTAATACTTCCTATCTCCTAGTTAATTGGATTTAATTTGCCTATGTTTTTTCGGCTTAAAGTGGAAGCTTGGATTATTGATTAAATCTTTTTTTTTTTTTTTAAGATTTTATTTGTTTGACAGAGAGAGACACAGCGAGAGAGGGAACACAAGCAGGGGGAGTGGGAGAGGGAGAAGCCGGCCTCCCGCCGAGCAGGGAGCCCGATATGGGGCTTGAACCCAGGACCCTGGGATCATGACCCGAGCCAAAGGCAGACGCTTAACGACTGAGCCACCCAGGCACCCCATGATTAAATCTTTTTACCTTTCCCATGTAGGCATTTAAAGCTATAAATTTCTTTCTGTTCACAAATTTTGATACGCTATATTTTCATTATCATTTATCTTCTAATTTCCTTTGTGATTTTTTTCTTTGAGCTTTGGGTTATTTTAGAAGTATACTGTATAATTTCCAAATATCTGGAGGCTTTCTTTTTATCTTATTGATTTCTATTTTAATTACATTGTGGTTTGGGAACTTACCACCTTTGGTGTACTTGATTGTCCTGTGTTTCCATTTTCTAATATATCCTACCTGTTGGGCTCATTTGTGAAAATAGACATTGCCATTCTATCCAGGTAGCATGAACTGCTAACAAAATATCAATTGCCTGGAATGCTAAGGGAATTCTGATTAATTGGGGTTTTTTGGTTGTTATAGTACAGAAATTATTTCACATTTCACCATTGGCTTCATATATATACATATACACATATATATATTCATATATATATACACATATATAATTTTTTTTAAGATTTTATTTATTTGACAGAGAGACACAGCAAGAGAGGAAACACAAGCAGGGGGGAGTGGGAGAGGGAGAAGAAGGCTTCCTGCTGAGCAGGGAGCCCGATGCGGGGCTCGATCCCAGGTGCCTGGGATCATGACCTGAGCCAAAGGCAGACGCTTAACCGACTGAGCTACCCCGGCAACCCCCCACTTTTTTTTTTTTTTAATATTTGACAGAGCACAAGCAGGGAGAGAAGCAGGCCCCCTGCTGAGCAGGGAGCCTGACATGGGGCTTGATCGCAGGACCCTGGGATCATGACCTGAGCCTAAGGCAGATGCTTAACCGACCGAGCCGCCCAGGTGCCCCTGGATTTATATTTTTATCAAATACTACTAGTCTGTTTTCCCTATCTTAATAACATAAAATGAACATTGTTGACTATCTCTTTAAGAATTTTCAGTCCTTGCGTGTCATCTTCAGCTGTACTTACATATTGTTGTAAGTACAAAACCAATCTACCAACATTAGGAAATAACCTGAAAATAATTTGGTTTTTGTAGTTTGATTCATCTTCATGTATTTTGCCCCACCCTCATTTCACACTTATTTCTTTCGATTGTTATTTATTTAACAAACATTTCTCAGGTACTAAGAAATTCAGTAGTTAGGGTCTTTTTTTTTTTTTTTAAAGATTTTATTTATTTATTTGAGAGAGAGAGAGAATGAGAGATAGAAAGCACGAGAGGGAAGAGGGTCAGAGGGAGAAGCAGACTCCCTGCTGAGCAGGAAGCCCGATGCGGGACTCGATCCCGGGACTCCAGGATCATGACCTG